TGCAAAGAGGTGGCAATCTCGTCCCAGTATGAGTTACCATCTGATGGTGGAGCATTTGGAAGAGACTCTGGAAGACGATTCTTGTAAGTTCGTCTGGTTCTGCTGTAACCAGACGTATACCTAAGTGAGTTCACCAACCAATCGATTACTGAACGCACCTACGAATATTCCAGTCATTGACCGAAGTTGCACCATACAATATGTATGGCAGCCTTTTCACCCGTTGGTATATCTGAGAAATTAACAAACGACCGTGCGTGACGCACTTTTTGGACGTGGCCCCATGATCAAAATCTGGTCGGGTTTGAAGGAACGGCTAGTTTGATAGCCAATTTCTAGTGAGCATCACCAACCGACTATCACAAAAATCCTAACGATTACCGGCAATTGAAAGGAAAGACACAAACCGGTTTTTTAAAAATAGTTTTTTCCGGATCTAACTGAGAAGCAGTAAGACTGCTTCAAGACTGGAAGGTATGATTATGAATATTTCAATGGATATTTTTGGCTCGTACCGTTCTATTTTCCATCCAGGCAGAGCACTGCCACAGCAAACGATTGCTATGATACCACTGATCCAAAACAACTACTAAAATGGTCCGACCACAACAATCCACTAAAGTACAAAATCCGAGAACTACAATCGGGATATCGATTTCTGACCGAAACGAAAGCCAGTGATCTAGGAAGACGAAGATTGTGTTAGTCTTACCATCGTCATTGGCAACCCCATCAATAGTGAGTGTCGGGGTTTTCACTAACGAGAAACAGTCAGAAAGACTAAATATGGCAACCGCGAAATGCACAAGCGCAAAGAGTCGAATACCTGATTTGCTGTACAATAAAACGAAGACAGCCAACGTTCAGGCAGCAAAATTTTGTAAATCAAAAACTCTTTCATCATGTCATTTCAGTGCAACCAGAAATTTCAATCAAGCCCTCTGCCACAAAACATTGATGGGAGTAAGCACAAATTTCCCACAACACTAAAACCTGAAGTGGTATCATCCAGCTGTAGGTTAGTATGTATGTGCGACATGTGCATGAACCTGACCGTCTCTGGAAACCTATCTCGTTTCTAAGCTTACAATGGTAGGTCAGAATTGTGACAAGTCAGCAACATGTAGAGAAACTGGAAAATATGCATTAACAGCAGAAGCACACCGATTCTATTCCTCAGTCATGCAGAGGTGACTGTATCTTCAGAAATTATAAATCCTTTAAAGTCAATTTCCA